TGATCTATATATGTTTTGCTAAACTGACTATCCCTGCAATTCACCTGTTGAATTACCTGAATATAAATGCGCCTATTTGCGGCAATCTATAACGTTACCTCTCTGCTTTTTGCATGTTGCTATCTGTGTCCTTAGCGCCATCATAAGAAGAGAAGGGTGCTCTAAGACATGGCCGTGACTCTGCATTGTTGAGAACGAGGACGTCCTGACATCCAAGCATCAAACTGCCTTAGCGTAGATCACCAAACATAGTATATTTGAAAATCAAGATGTGCATGATCTCGTACTAATGCTACACAGCCCTTTGTAATTCACTCTGCCTCGCTTCTACTAATCGTTATACATGATTGTAGTATCCCTGTTTTGGCATTGTTGCATCATTGCATGCTCTGAGTTTGATCTTGGCCGAAGTGAGGGAGAATCTTACTTTGCTTCCAAATTCTATATAATTATTATGGTTATTTGGCAAGCTGAGTGGGGAGTTCTGACCCATTGTCTTTTATATAATTCCTTAACCAGTGTCCAGCAGAATTCAGAATTCACGAACCTATAAGTTCCTCTCCTATCTTCACAGCTCGCTAAATTCGTTATTATCATCAGTGCGTATCATCATCACATTATCATACATCGGCTGTTGATCATCTAATCATCACAGTCCTTATTCCTAAAATCTCTGAACAAAATGCTAATAAAGTCTGTCATCCTGACTCACACCTCCTTGTAGAAGTTGTTGAAGTGAAGTATCCTGCGTGACAGAGCCCAATCCCTCACTATCACTTATCTGTTATCACCTGCAGGGTTGACGTCCCAGACCGGCTTAGTCTCTGTTCTCTTAGTACCGGTATCGGTAGTGTGGTATTGATATTCAAACCCAGTACAATACTCATCGCAAAGATTATAGCCTCGTGTTGCTTACCTACATTGGCCAGAAATGTGGAGATTGCCATCACTAGTCCACAAGGAATACGTCGAAATTCACTTGGCAAGCCCGGCCGTGCCAGCATGAAAGACGTCGTTATGGTTCATTTTCATAACAATAACACAAACACACACACACACACACACACACACACACACACACACACACACACACACACACACACACACAGAAATATCGGGTGTTAGCGGTTGTCGAAACGAACCCCATAAACTGAGTGCATAGGATTCATCCCGTCACCGGCCAGCCTCGACCCCCGGAATCCCCAAGCACCAAAGTTGCATACTACCCATGGGAGGCTATGAAATGACTATCAGAATCAGAAAACAGTATCACCCCTGCCAAGAGATCGACAAAATGATAACAAAAGCCAAGGCTTGCACAACGCGTGAGCGATGGGCCCCAAACCGCACCCATCTCTCCCGCGCCCGATCAAGCCAGTCCCGATCGCTACTCCTAATCCCGCCTGCCAACCCAGCGAATACACCTCCCCTCTATATTCATGAAAGGAGGCGACACCGCCTGTTTGTGTTGCGACGTTAAAATAAACTTCAACACACACACACACACAATCTCAAACTCATGTGCTTGTCGTCCGTCGTGTTGCTGAGCTGGAACCTATATGTAGGACTCAGTGAGCAGTCACGTCTCGATGACCGATCACGATCCCCGTGACCAATCAAACAGTCACAAATCCCCGAAGAGCAGTCATAAAGTCACACACCAGTTTGAATCCCGATGACCAGTCACAAACAGCCGCGACTTTCTCTGTGAACGGTCACAGGGTCCACGTCAAAATATTACAACTCATCTGTAGGCATTCACGCGATCACTCGGATCAGCCTACTTTTTTCCTTCACAGACACAGGTTTCCGAAGTGAGCAAGAAAGATTTCGATCAACTCTCGATCTCCGCGTAGTTTACTTGTAGCTCGAGTCTGGTGTGTGTGGGCTCCTCTCCAAAACGAAGGGTGGTCGAAAATCTTGCAGGCTTCAGATAGAATCTCTTTTGAGAGGACGTTTTGGCTAGTAGATTGTGCTATTCATCATATTTGAAGAACAAACTTCGTCGTTCAGAAAAGCTATTTCGGAATATTTTCAGTCAAGTAATTTTTTGCATGCCGATCTTGCTAGAACGGAGACTGATTTCAACTGATCCAGCATACAAGCAGCACTCGCTTTGTGTTTTTGGAGAGGATGGGTGACAAGATTACGGAGTCAGAAGTGGACATCGTCGACGATGCAGAGACGAAAATATACTGAAGATGGAAAAGAAAATATGTTCATCTCCAAGAAGGTACTGAGTACACCAAGCACCTTCGTGTGTGTAGCTCTGTCTTTCTTGTGGAAGACTCCACAGAAAAAAATGTACAGCTTGTTGAAACTGAAACTGCCTCTCAGTTGAAGTCGTTCAGGGAAGACATCTATTCGAGACATCATTGATCCATTCTCAAGAACCATCGTAAGAAAAATCAAGTCATGTTAGCGATAAGAATGGCGAACTAGACCAGAGAAGTGTGAGTGTCTTGGTTTGGCTGCAGGAAACTGTATTTCAATATTGTGGCTGAACGTATTGCTTACGCAGTTTACTGCTTCGAACACATCTTCATTCCTACTACCAAAATAACTCTGTAAAATTTATTGATGTAACATTATGGTACATGTACAAGTCATGGTCTTTCTCGTTGTGCTGCTATAACGTGTATTATAAGTACATGCATACGAGTACTGTGTACCATTCCTACTCCCAAAACAACTCTGTAAAATTTATTGATGTAACATTATGGTACATGTACAAGTCATGGTCTTTCTCGTTGTGCTGCTATAACGTGTATTATAAGTACATGCATACGAGTACTGTGTACCGTTTACTGTCTCCTTGTCAGTGTTTTTGGGCGATCCTCCACACCTTCATTTGTCCATTACGTACTATTTGCCTTCTACATGTACTTATTAATTTTATAGAAATATTCACTCACTGCAACTTCTTGTGATTGCTGGTGCGAATGTACCCTGCGATGCCTGCTTGTTAGTGAGAGTGCACCAGAC